TGTGGACGTTTGCCCTCAGCCTGGTCGACAAGTCTTCCCGTTCTTGGGTTGTGCCTCCTCCCGACGGTGAGCGTGGTGGCTCCGTAAAAACGGTCTGCGCAGGCGGCGTGGCTTCCTGGGAGCGTGTCTTGACCATCTTCAATATTTTATTCTTCAAATTCCGGCGTTTCGGCGTTCTTCAAATTCCGGCGTTTCGGCGTTCTTCAATTCCGGCGTTTCGGCGTTCTTCAATTCCGGCGTTCTTCAGATTCGGCTCGATGTGACCAGCAGCTTGTTGCTGTGTCTGGTTCCGGTTCGTAGTGGATCAACAGCTTTTCTTCCCGATTCTTCAAATCTGGATCGTAGATTCGTCACGGTAGGGCTCTTCAAATCCGGCTCGATTGGACCAGCAGCTTGTTGCTGTGTCTGGTTCCGGTTCGTAGTGGATCAACAGCTTTTCTTCCCGATTCTTCAAATCTGGATCGCAGATTCGTCACGGTAGGGCTCTTCAAATCCGGCTCGAAGGACCAGCAGCTTGTTGTGGACTGTATGATGATTTTTGATTGAAACTCGATTTTTTATTCCTTTGTAGTTTATTTTCTTCTTATTTATTACAATTTTTGCTGTTCTGGATCGCATGAAAAAATGCTTGCAGTACTTCTTCACGCGCGTCGCAGGCGCCGAAGGCGCCGCGGCGTGCGGGGAATCCGGTATTGGAGATTTTCCACTTCGGAGGTTGCGGGGTCGCACTCTGCCCTTGCAGAGTGGTCGTTAGGGTCCGTTACCCCCCTCTCTACTCCTCTCTCCAAAGGACAGTAATTGAGCCAGGACAGTAATGAAAAAATGACAAAATGACCCTACTTATATCTAAGATTATGAGTACGTAGTTAGCGCTAAGTCAGAGCGGTAGTTGACCTATCCCGTGCGTTTCCCCCCGCGCCCCGCCGTAGTTGCGTCGTCGGTTGCTCGCAGTTCGCGCTAGGTCGGAACGGTAGTCGGCCAGTCGTGTGAGCCTCTTCTGAGCTGTAGTCGCGTCGTCCTTGACAATAACAAAAGTAATGAAGCTACTGAATATATGGCTATATAACCTAAATCTCTTAGCTTTCTTTGGTTAACGAGAGTTTAAAAATTCTCTCTAATCTGTGGCTCTTTCACAATCATCACACAGTTTCTGTCACAGAGTACCTTATTATAACCGGAAATGACACCTGATTTTAAAAGTTACTCTTATGCATTAACTTAAAAAACAAGCAACTATCTGTTAATCTACATGTTCTATATACTTGAATCTAATCCATAATTTCGGTACTTGGCTTGATTTTCCTAGGTTACTTTGTAACTTATTTATTTTTTATTATTTTAATATGTTCAGTGTATATGGTTTATAGAAGTTCTGAGGGGTGTCCGTCAATAATATTCGTTTCTACAGTAATTTATATATAATCTCGAATCTAGGAAACAATTTTTCATGATTATTGGTCTTTAGGCCAAACATGTATGGAAGCTGAGCAATCTCCTTTCACGGTACCACTTTTCATTCGTAAAACTATGAAAACATTTATTTTTCTCTAAAATCACGTTTCGTCATGAATGTTATTTACTTTTTCGCCATTTGTTATCAAGAAAAGGACAACAATACACTTCAGCCGTTTGTAGAGAGGACAGAAAACGCAGTCGCCAAGCTAAACGACGCGGAGGACCGTACCTACGTCACTGCGCACGGATCTACCGCTACCAAAGTGCTCCGAAGAAAAGCTGGGCTTTTCTGCTCCGTGAGCACTGCCTGGCGCCTCCGCGCCAGCGTGGATACCACACCCCTAGCTGCAGGCCTGAGCGCGCCCCACAGCGCAGCTCGGCCAAGATCGCGCCGACGTAGCCCACTACCGCATCAATGGCTACCAAATACTGGACGCCACCCCTACCAGACCTCCAGGGAGAAGCTGGACTGGCCCAGACGAAGGCCCTCTTCGCGGCCAGGAAGAGCGGCGCGGGATCGCCCCGCGTCCAATATGAATTGGACGCCGCGATGACGTGCCGTCTCATTGACTCCGGTCTCCTGTCGCAGAAGCTATCGGACTGGATCTGGATCTACCACCGCCTCCTGATGGAAGACGAAGCCCACGCCACGAACCGCAGCCCAATAGACGAGAGATTGATCGAGGCGTATGAATATACAAAATTCCGATCACTCGTGCTGCCACCACCGCAACAATATTACATCCAACCGGAAGGACGACGCCCCCGCGCGACACAACCGCGCGACCCGCGCCACCGCCGCTCACGAAGCCAAGGAGACGCTCCCGCATCCCTGCTAGCAATCCCACCTGCTGAGACAGAGATCCCCAAGGATGAAGACGAAGATCAGCCCAGGGAAGAAACCACCCCCGCCGCACAGGACACAGAACAAACTGAAGTACCGACTGAGCACGCACAGACTGCTGTACCGACGCAGTCGTATGCCGAGGCCGCAAAAATTTTTGCGCCTACCCCCGATACCGATGAAAAAAAATCGACGATCGCCTCACCACCCACAGCCGAGCCGACCGCGCAACCGGCCTCCTGCAGCGCTCCCACGTCCCAACGGGTCCGAAAGCACCCGCCGATTGTGGTTGAGCAGCTGCGGGACTGGCCGAAACATTTGCGCGCCATCCACCAACAGCTCGGCCGCTCGCCTAGCGTGCGCCCGTTTGGAACGGGCATACGCTTTTCACCGATCGACGACGACGAGGGCCGGCTCGTCCTGGACTATCTCTCCGGACTGGAGGGACAACCGGGACTGAGCTGGTACTCGCACGCCCGGCCAGAGGACCGCAGCCTCAAGGTGGCAATCCGTGGATTGCCCCTTGACACCACCCCGCACGACGTCACCGAGGCCCTTGCTGAGAAGGGCTTCATCGTGGAGCACGCGAAGCAGATCCGGGCGCGAGCAGGCCGCCCCGGCTCGCTGTTCTACGCCGCACTTCGCCGCACCCCCGACATCATTCCGGCCATCTATTCGGTGAGTAAACTCCTGAATGTGGCCGGAATCACCATCGAAGCCTGGAGAGGAAGGAGGAACGCCCCCGCGCAGTGCCACCGCTGCCAGGGGTTCCGCCACTCCAGCCATGGCTGTCACCGCGCGCTTGCTTGCGTGCGCTGCGGTGACCCGCACGCTGCCGCCGACTGCCCGCGCCCACTCACGCAACCTGCAACTTGCGCAAACTGCGCAGGTGCGCACCCCGCAAACAACAGCGCGTGCCCCGCGCGACAGCGCGAGGCGCGCAACCGCCGCGCCACTACTGTGGCCCACACAGGCCGCCTGCCCACCGCACCCGTACAACACCCAGCCGAGGTGAGCGAGCACGCGCCGGCCACATTGATGGCCCCCGCGAACGCTCCTCCCTCGGACACCAGCAGCCCCAAACGGCGCCGCCGTAGACGACGTCGAGCGAGCGATACCTCGCCGACGCATACGCCACCCGCAGCCCCACCACCCAATGATGGCAACCGAGCGACACCAACCTCGCCGCCGCCCACCCAAGATGCCACCACACGCCTGTTGCTCCAGCTTTCGGACTTGCTCACCGACTTTGCAAAAAAGTTCGGGCAGTCCGAAAAAATTTTTTCGACATCTACCCCCAGATTGGACACCACCCCCGCCCGCTGAAGTCCGTCGCCCGCTCGCTGGTCGCTCACTGGGCCTCCCTCATGGGTCTCACCCGGTGGGCTTGACCGCGCCGAGGGCGACGTGTGAAGAAGCGGAGGCGGGGGTACAGCCCCAACTGACCGTCTCGTCCCGATGTCGAGACGCGAGCCCGCTACCTCTGAAGTGGGCCAACCGGCCCAGACCAGACTCCCCGCACGCCGCGGCGCCTTCGGCGCCGGCGACGCGCGAGACGAAGAAAGAGGAGGAACGACGCGGAGTCGCCGTTTCGCTCGCGCTGCGTTGAAGCGTATAGTTCTGTCTCGCACGCTCGATTGAATGTTTATTTACAGACGTATGCGTGTGTGAGAGTTGCTTATGTAGTTGAGTCGGAGCATTTTTTTTTTCTTTTTCTATACAAGGTGTAGTAAATTACCCCATTCGTCTGATAATAAGTTATTTGAGTGATTTTACCAGGCAGTTTTACGCGGCGAGGCTGAAAACAGTAGTGTTGAATTACAAATACACAAGTTTTTATTTTTTGTTTAGTAAAAGGCTTTGATATCTTCATGAGGCATGATACGAGTATATTTACCGCATAAACCACATTATACATGAGGAAAAAATATCTTTCTTACCATTTTTTAAGTCTGGTGGAGCGTCCAGAAACCGTTTTCTTAATGATTTGTTAATTATGTCCAAAATTGAGCAAGTTGTTTTGCAGCTAAGTTCTAAAAAATCATAAAATATACTAGTTATTTCAACTATATAAGTACAGATTTATTTCCTTTCTAGGGCTCTAGATGTCTAGATGTCTGCCAATAACATCTATCCGCAATTACTTCAGTTACTCCGTGATCATGGCGCTTGCAACAGTGCCGAAATATCGGAGACTCATAAAAACAAGGTACATGGTAACAATCCCGTTAATATCTATAATAAGCAATTTAATGCTATATTATTAATATTTGTTAATGCTCAATCGTTAAATGCTCTCTCTTCTCTTAACAAAAGCTGTAACAGATAAATATATCTAAAGAAAAGTTTACTAGAAAAAAAATCCATGCGGACCAGGCAGCAGACGGAACTCGAACCGTCTCTCGAACTCGAACGTCCTCTCCTCTTGCAATTGCGATACCCTACACTACAGGGTCCATAATGCACTTTTTGTCTATATGTTACCACCTTTGTATCTCCATTATGGTCTGCAATAAATGAATTGAATTGAATTGAATTGAACCCGCACCCTTCGCTATCCGGGCGAATGCACTGACCATTATGCTACCGCGGCCCTGACGGCTGTGCCGAATTTTTCTCTAGCCTTAGGCTGTAAGGCAGCGCCATCTGGCAGTTACATGTTTAAACAATAAAAATTATAATGATAAATGTTCAAGCTTACCTCTCCTGTTTCAGTATGACGTCATCCCCCTGAGCAGTGGCACTCAGTAAGGGGTACCCGGGCCTCTCGCACCATCCGTCCCACGCGTGGGCTCGCACGCTGTCCTCCCCGCTGGCCATTCCACCACCGTCATGCTGCAGGGCGCGCCATAGGTCCCTATGTGTATATACCATACATTATCATGGTCATAAGAGATGGCGCTACCGGTACTGCGCTCACAACGCCTACATCGCGCAAGTGAAATTCGAAAGCAACATCAGTCGGACCGCGGCCCTCGATGTACCATCACCCACCTCGGAGGAAGATCTCCCTCTTTGGCCTTCCTACACAACTACCAATAAAAAAGTGTATTTTTTTCAGGATTCACATATCCCATGCTCAGAAAGAAAGCGAATGGAGACAAAAAAAATGCAGCAGCAACTTACATATAGTGGCAGTAATGTTAATTGGATACGAAAGAGAGAGAGTTTGTTTACACGATACCAAGATAATATATCATCCCCCTTGGCAAGTAGAGCTCAGTAAGGGGTGCGGGTACCCGGACCTCTCGCACCGTCCGTCCCACGCGTTGGCTGTCACGTATGTCTGTACATTATACTATAAGTCTCTATAGTAAGTCAATAATATATAATTATCAGCGTATTAATGGCCCCAGTACCAGCCGTCCCACGGGTGGGCTCGCACGCTGTCCTCCCTACTGGCATACCGCTGCTGTCATGTTGCAAGGCTTGCCATAGGACCTTTTGTTTATAGATCATACCATAAGGGTCTATAGTACCCAAGTTATTAATATATTATTATCTTCATCAGCCAATGTCCCCCCTTAATTCGTGTCTATGGTACGCTATCCTTAGCCTATTGCCAGTCCCCCCTCTCGTTTGGCCTCCCCACTGGCCATACCACCACCGTTATGCTACAGGGCGCGACACAGGTCCCTAGGTGTATATACCTTACATTATCATGATCCTACTAATATGCTTATTTTATTTATTTATTTAATCTTTAATGCCTTTACATTGCATATGGCGGACTTAATGCCAGCATGGCATTCTCTACCAGTCAACCGGAAAGAACGTGCAGAGTCAATAAAACGGCAGACAAAAGGGTTTAATACATACACAATATATACATACATACAAACATAGATATACATACATACTCACACATATATACAAAATATACCTATAATATAGTGTCCAATTTTAGTATCCTGGCACTATGCAATAGATTCAAATAATGTTCCCGCACCGAACTCTTAAACACCGTCCTGTTTGGAGCGTTTCGAACGTCTAGAGGAAGTGCATTCCAGAGCCGAAGGGTAATAAGGAAGAAGGTGAATGAACTGGAGACGAACCTAGTATGGTGTAGTATACCTAGTATAATTTTATGACACGACTATCAATAAAAAAGTGTAATCTTTTCAGGGTTCACAAATCGCATTCTCAGAAGGAATCCGAATGAAAACAAAAATTTTATAACAGCAAATGAACAAGATACATTGTACTAGTCATGTTTCAATGTCATTTGATTACGAAATATCATATTTTTCAATTCGCTACAGAAGTTCTTGAGATAAGGACGAACAAAAGATCTTCAGATTTATCATAATGAAGTATCGATTATAAATAAAATCATAGACGTATAATATATAGATATAGGTTATACGCCAACATTACTGTATTTTAAAATGGCACAGGTAGTCCCCGCCCCAACTTCCTTTGCCAACAGCCGATAATAGAACGCATTAAAGTAGTCTCTTTCACTCTTATGCATAAAGCAGATTACGGGTGTATTCCGTAATATATACCAGTATACTGGCCAGTGTTAACGACGTCATAAATCGACGCTAATATACTGGTGAATTGTTCCGAAATATACTGGCCAGTGCACTGACGTCATAAATCGACAAAATATTAAAAATTGTGCGAATAAAGAAGATTTTTTTATTCACCTTATCAATCAAAAGGAATTCTTTTTGTTTGGATGCTATTATTGTTCTTTAAATAAAAAAGAAATACAATTCGAATGGATCTCACGCACACGCTCGGTCATAGGTCATATTCATTATCCCGGTAAAAAAATATGGTAGCATACCAGTACAATATGGCGTCGGATTCGTGACGTCATTACCACTGGTCAGTATACTGATGTATATTTCGGAATACACCCTACATCTCGATCTTTAGCTTCCACGTGCTAACGGTGTCAGCAACTGTCAAAATAAGCAATCACTATCGTAATACGTTTACATTATTTTCTTTAAAACTGTGCTAAAAATTAAATGACACCTTTTTTTGGTCTCTAATACTTCCCATGTTTTGTATACTATCTTAAAACACAGAGCTTTTTGTCTGTAAAATCGAAAAATATTTGCACGTTGTAGTGAAGTGTATACGCGGCGGGAGAGCGTGCCCGACTGAATGCAAGTCAGGCAATTACCTGACTTTCGCATTGCCAAATTAGAAGCGTGTATGTCGTATCTATAAAGCCAGAAACATATTAACGTGTCGTGGCGTGACGTGGCGTGACGTGGCGCAACGGTTTCACACATTTATAATGGGTTAGAGAGAGATAGAGAGGTTACAGCGTCGACACGACACGATACGTAAATATGTCTCTAACCATAGTAAATGTATGAAACCGATGTGCTTCTGGCGCGCCACGACACGACACGAAACGTTAATATGTTTCTGGCTTAACTCTAAACATCATTGATTTTAATAGCATGGAAGTTAGACAGAAGGAGAACGATCGCTGTAGTAAATAGTGTCCCAGAAATATGGACAAAATAAGTGAGGCGCTGCGATCGATAAGTTGTCTCAATAAAAGCGGGCTAATTTGTAATGGCCAATGCCGCGAAGAAAATTTGTACATTATTCAACTAACTTCATCTACTTGTACTCATAAACAGCTAACTTCACAGATACTACTTACCGACGGCAGCGCGGTCGGCGGCTGAAAAATGAACTATAAATTCTACAAATTTTCAGGGACAGGCGGGATAATGCTTTAGAACGTTGCGATCGTTGAACCCTCTAACCTCCATGTCTAGTAGGTACCTGGCGTCAGCGCTGGCGGCTCTGTGGTACTTCAACAATCGAGCCAAAGCTGCACGTCCCGCCGCCTCGCCCGCCGCTTCTATAGCCATGCTTACTATGGCCGCACCCTGAACAAAAAAAAAGATATTCATATTTATAAAATTCTTAAATGTGTCGTGTTTCACCAAGAACATTGGAAATTTACTGGGGCTGATACCGGGATTTTTTCCTAATTTATTTATTTATTTATTTATTTATTTATTTTTTGGAAGACCAACAGCTATTAACAAAAATAATAAAAACTTAAATAACAACATAAAGCCAATTACAGGTCTTCACCAATAAAGACACACTAAAATATAATTAGGCACACTTTTAACATAATAATAACAAAAAAATAAGCATTGTACAATTGCCTATTCGTCGAAAAATGCACTGCTCAATACCCGCCTCAGTGATGGAACGCTAGTATAAAACAAATCAATACCAGTTTTCTCGGATACAACATTAAAACTATTACCTGCACGCAGAAGATATGAATTCTGTCTAAAGTTTGAGGTTGCCTGTGGAACGCATATAACGGGATTAAATCTCAATGGTTTTTTTGTAGCCCTAAGGGAAATCCTAGACAGTAGTGCTGGGCAGTCGATAGCACCAGAAGCTATTTTTAATAAAAATACTAAATCTGCAATTTGGCGGCGTTTTTGCAGTGGTAACAAGTGGTGTTTTTTACAAAAATATAAATATTGATTTGAATTGTAGTGCTCTTTGGTGCGAAAACAGAGATATTTGATGAATTTTCTCTGGATGTTTTCAATTCGCGTTATATATGTAAGATACAGAGGGTTCCAGACTTGGGACGCATACTCCAGATGGCTTCGAACAAATGAACAATATAAAATCTTTAATGTTTTTGCATTTTTGAAGTCTCTGGAATTACGCATCACAAATCCAAGAGCCCTGGAAGCTTTACTAATGATATTATCTATATGAGCGTCAAATAAGAGCTTATTGTCATGAAGGACACCAAGGTCCTTTGCGACAGTATCACGTTGCAATGTTGAGTCTCTTAATTTATAATCAAAAAGTATCAAATTTTGTTTACGACTATAAGTGACAACAATACACTTTGACGGATTAAGATCTAAATGGTTCTCAACACAATAAATTTCAAGTCTGTTAAGGTCCTCCTGCAACGAAATAGCGTCAGCGATAGAAGATATAGGTGCAATTATCTTCATATCATCTGCAAAGCATAAGAGTTGTGATGTGTTGAAGCACATCTCAATATCATTCACAAAAACTGCAAATAATAGAGGTCCGAGCAGAGATCCTTGAGGAACTCCGCTGAGCACTGTGAGCCAGCTGGAGATGTAGTTTTTCACTACAACAGCCTGGGATCGATTGTTAATATATGAAGTTAACCACCTGAGCAAGTCACCACTGACGCCGATCTTCTCCAGTTTATGTACCAGTAGGTCTGGCCGAATTCGATCGAACGCTTTGCTGTAGTCAGTGTATACGACATCGACTTGGAAGCCATTATCCATAGACGAGGTGAGCGATTCATTAAGCAGAGTCAAGTTGGATGCTACAGAACGTCCTCTCAAAAAACCATGCTGAGTGGGGCTGAAAGAATGCTTAAGAGCTGAGTATAGCTGCTCATACACAATCTTCTCAAGAACCTTTGAGACTATACAAAGTTTGGAGATTGGTCGGTAATTGGTTATGTCAATCCTGGATCCTTTCTTGTGGACAGGTGTGATAAAAGCACGTTTCCACAACATTGGTACAATACCTTCAACCAATGATTTTTCAAAAAGGATAGCTAATGGAACTGCAATAGTTTTAGCGCAAGATATAAGGAACTGAGCTGGTAATAAATCTGGACCGGATGACTTGGATGGATCCAGTGTCGAAAGAAGCTTCGCCACATTTTGAACATCAATTTCAATATTTGTTATATTCGTGACGGTGATATTAGAACCAGAAGAATAAACGTTCGATTGAACGGTGGGACAGTTCAAAAAATTTGAATGAAAATAATTAGAAAAAGCATTACTGATCGAATTTCCTGTATTGAGAATAACATCACCATGTCTCATACTGCTAGGAATATCATTCGTATCCGATTTAGACTTAATAAAAGACCAAAATAATTTTGGGTTATCCTTTAAAGAACTCTCAACAGACTTAATGTAGTCAGAGTAGCATTGCCTCTCCATTGCCCTACACCGATCTCTAAGCAATTTAAATGTTAATTCGTCAGCGAGGTTCCCGTATGAGTTGAACTTTTTCAGGTATTTATATTTCTCTTTAATGGCCTTTTTCAAAGCAGAAGAGTACCACTTTGGATAACGGCCAGCAGTGACTTTTTTACTGGGTATGTACTTATCCCTCAACTTAAAAAATATGGTATAAAAGTAATCAACAGCACCTTCAAGAGATCTGGACGTCAGTTCAGACTGCCAGTCTACTTTTAAAATCTCCGAATTAATTGCCTCATAATTACCCTTATTAAAGAGATACTTAACATACGGGGCATCAGCCAAACAAATAGTGTTAGAAAACTGTAGGTCAATAGTCATGGCCCCGTGATGCAAATCGATCGGCACTAGGGGATCCTCACTGCAGTCAGTGACCCGGACATAATCATTGGATAGAACCAAGTCTAGAAGTCTACCATATGTATTTTTTATTCCATTGTATTGGGTAAGGCCAAGGGTATTTAACTCATCCACCAAAAATTTTTCATCATCAGAGTAATAATTGGATGGGTCAAAGGAGTTACAATCGACATCACTTAAAGTCCAAGCAATTCTACTAAGGTTGAAATCTCCCACTATCAGATATTTGTCATTTGGATGTCGAATAAAGACTTCACTCAAATTATTAAAGAAATTAAATAATTGTTGTGAGTAAGATAATCCCAAGTTTTCCCTACATAAATAAACGACACAAATATGAACATTAAGATGAATATTAGTCTCGCGCTGCTTCAGCACAAGCGTCAGCCACAAATCTTCAGCACTCGAGTGGAATGCTGGCTGCGGCACGACTGCGAGATCCCGGCGCACCGCCACCAGCACACCACCTCCATAAACCTGACCGGTTGCGGCGTAGTTACGGTCGCGACGCCAAACAACATAACGACAGTCAAAAAGTTCCGCATCTTTAATACTGTCTACCAGCCACGTCTCAGTAATTATAATAATATCGTAGTTACAAGTACATAAATTACGAAAGAACAAAGTCGTTTTAGTGCGTAGTCCCCGCGCATTTTGGTAATAAATATTGTAGGAGTTATTCTGTATATTAGCCATTTGTAAAAAATAAAATAAACACAGCAAAGACACAGCGCACCAAAAAATCAAAAGATAGTTTTATAAAAGTAATAAGATTCAGTGTGTACGCATAATAATAATAGTAATTACTATTATTTCTTATCTCACACATACCAAAAAAGTACTCAGTTAATACAGGGGACACGTATTTGAAATAGAATAAAATAATAAACTTTTTCAAAAAAAATCGGTGGACTAATAGATTAACGACATCAAAATAATAACATAATACTTCTGTACGAGTCGCGGAGTGCAGAATAAATATATAATAAGAATAATAGCTTTTTATCATTTTATACAAACTAGAAAAATAAACTGTTATTAATATGAAATAACAATAAACAACCAATAAATAATTATGATACGCTAATAGTGGAACAATATAGAACATAAAATTATGTATAACTCCAGCGTGCAGGCGAGATCCGATAAAAAAACTCGAAAGCGTTTGAGACCAACCAAAACAATATTCAATATCGCAAGCAAAGTAGAAATGCAACTCAATAAGCAGTAGATAAAAAACAAGGCGGGTATCAAGGCAAACACAGTGGCCCAACCGGTTGTGAATCGGCAGCCAGTGCGATAACACACAATAGCGAGGCAATGACGTAGTAAGCACAGCAGGTATTACAAACCTTTTAAACAAAATTAACATGCGTCTTACATAAACATGTTTTGAAATATAAAGCAATTTAAATATTAACATTAAAGCAAGCAAGAAATCTAGTTTTAAAATTAGGTACACAATAAAGAGCTGGTAGTAAGCTAAGCGATTTTGTTTAAATCTTCTTCATTAGTAATGATATAAACACGGGATTTGTCATTCTTTCTCACGTGAATTTTACAGTACTTTACCCACACGTAACTATAGTTTTTTTCCTTGGCGATTGATTTGGTTTTCGTAAGTAAATGTTTATATTCCGAGGTGAGATGATCATTGACGAAGATTCTTTGAGTATTTCCTACAAAGCCAATATCCGAAGCTACAAACTCTTTCTTCGCACGCGCTGCAGCAATAAACTCTTCCTTAACGTATCGATTGTTAAAGTTTATAATTATCGACTTTTCTTTACTATTATAAACGGGTACTCTGGCAATGTAATTAATTTGGTTTTTCGGAAAACTATAGCCTACTGCCACGGTCAATGATTCAGCCAGCTCGAATAAGTTTTCTCCGGACTTCATAGGTACGCCTTTAATCTCAATATTATTGAGCCGTGCCCACTGTTCCTTTAGTGCTAACTCCTTCTTAAGGGCAGTGATTTCATTGGCAGCAGAGTTAAAAGAAGATTGAAAATTGACTATCCCGGACACTCTGTTTTCTAAGTCGGAAATCCTCAATTCTTGTTCATCTAATTTAGCGCTGTTAAAATCACAAGACGATTTAAGATCTTCCAGCTCTCTCTTGATGCATTTGACGTCTTCAACGAGTGTGGGAAGACTGGAAAGTTGATGCTTCATGTCACGTATCTCGCTAAGTATAGTCTCCAGGACGGAATCACCTCCCGGACTAGGCGAAGATGATCTTGACAGCTTACACTGGGGACATTTCCATGCCAGTCTGCGTTCAGGTCCCAGTTTCCTATACCCTGTCTCGGTAATATTTGCGCAATTGAAGTCTAAACACTTTTTACACGCCCCACACTGGACACCGTCATTGAATGATGCATCACACACAGCACACTTCATATTCACAGCAAAAGAGCCAAGCTCAACAAATGACAAAAAGGTTGATAATGTATGAACGACGAGCGGATAAGTTGTACACGTACTACCTAAGCGAG